TTCTGTTAAAAGTTTTCCGCATTGCCTATTTGGCTATTTTTTGTCCTTTCATGCAAACTATTTAATTCGTCGTATAAAACGATCTTAATTGCATTGACATTGACTAGCTGCGACGTATACTGAGTCTGAGATCTGTCCTTTAATCTTTAATCTATACAGCATTAATAATAATTTGACAGTAGTTTGCAACTAATTGCCATTCTGTGAATAACTTTCAACTTCAATTGGTATTTTTCGGCAAAACTTGATTTGTCTCAAAATAATAGTAAAAATAACATAACATCGTGGGGGGGGGGGGGTATGGATCACGTTTCACAACCGAAAAAAAAAGCCGTTTCACGATTCACGTGTCTTAAAAAAGCAGTTTCATGGAGTTTTATCATAAAATAGTATAATAATAGGTTTATTAAGACTATGTTTAATGCATGGTACAGTATTTATGCTTTAAAGTTCTCTCATTTCTCTACCTGTCAGTTAAAAACTACATCATAACTTACAAGTTTGAGTGACGAGAATGTACGACGACCTCCGCGCGTGTCCTCAGCATGAGGAAGCTTGTCCTCGGCATCAGGAACCTTGTCCTCGGCGTCAGGAACCTTGTCCTCGGCATCAGGAACCTTGTCCCCAGCGTCAGGAACCTTGTCCCCAGTGTCAGGAACCTTGTCCCCAGCGTCAGGAACCTTGTCCCCAGCGTCAGTAACATTGTCCTCAGCGTCAGGAACCTTGTCCTCAGTCACAGGAACCTCGCGAAAGGCCTCCGAAGTTTTTACTGTTGTGCAATCGAGTGAGATCATATAAATTTGATTATTGCGTATCATGTTTATTATAATAATCACTATAATAATCACAGTTCACGAAACAGGCATCCTTAATTCTCATTTCACGGAGCATTTTTATCAACAATGACATCTCACAGCTGTAGAACAAATCACATTTCACGACACTAAAATCAAGCATTTCACATTTCACGCGAACAAATATTGACCATTCATGGCTCACGAAAATACCCTTTCCCACCCTCATCGTACTAAACTGCATGCAGCGTTTATGGTACTTGATTTGAGTTAACGATACTGCTCCAGGCTGCACACACTCGCGGGCCAAGAACAATGACATCTCTCGACAAGTCCAAGTTAGTCTGGGAGTATTTGTCCGCACCTGCACAGTTTAGTTATTTATTTGGAAACATGTGCATTGCCCAATCATGGATATATTTTATCTATGAGAGTTTGTTTTTTATCCTTTGATTTGAGTTGAAGTTCAAAATGCACACAAATTTCTTTCAGCATCGTTATTTTAAAAATAGATAGGCTCTTCTGTTTGTTCATGTCACATAAATCATACGCGTCGTAGTATATAGGATGGCATATGTCGATCTCAGCAATGATGTTGTCCACAAGCGTTTCTCTTTGTGCATTCTCCTCAAAATCATCATCATCAGTGTCTTCTTCTGCTGATATGTCGCTTTCAAGTTGCCCTTTTCTTTGCTGTTTGGCCAACCTCGAAAAAACCCCTTTATCTGCTGCTTGTTTAGCCACTCTTCCCTCTTGAAGAGCCTTTCTCCACTCTCATCTTTTGCAGCTCTTATATCCAGTGAAACTTGTGTCGGATCTGCTTTGTGGCCTGTTCGTTCTCCAGAGTCGAATTTTGCAACCAGGTACTTTTTAACCTTTTCAGGGAATCTTACAGATCCCGTTTTGGGTTGGTTTAAGGCCCAGCTCATCTCAAGAGCACTTTCTTGGATTCGTTGAATACCACTCTGTGCTGATGCTTGCACATCCTTTGTTGTGACAGTTTTAAAACTATTGGCCCATTCCCTTCTGAGAACATCATATACACTTTCATTGCTAATGAAGCGACTGTGTTGCCCCACGTCCATGTGTAGCTCTAAACAATTGAAGGACTTGAAAACATGGTTGCAGCCAGGCTCAGGGCAGTCGAAAAGACCTTCAAGCTCAGTATTATATGTACTTGCTTCAGCTGGATTTTTCTTTTTCAATTTTGTCTCTCTTACTGAATTAATGCCTGGGAAAGAATCTTTTATTTGCATCTGTGTGTTTCCTTGGTGACTGATGTAAAGCGTTTTACTGGGCACTTTCTTCCCCACTCCCACTCCAAAAGCTCTCCATACTCTGATACCATCTTTCTCATAAATAAAGTTATGATAGCTGCTAAAGTTTGGTATTTTCTTTACTTTAAGTTGCTCCACAGATTCGTTCACTTCATTAACCGATGATGAGGCTCCCTTGACAGGGTGGTAATTCAGTGCAGTGTTCATGTCTGTGGCGTTAAGAATGTCATGTCCTTCGTTACAATACTTTCTAATAGATGATTTTAAAGGGCTAATAATTCTATCGCAAATGTCTTTACCCTGTTGAGGTTCTGAGAAGTCATAACCACTAACCGAAATACCAACCCGTTTCCCGATGTCTGACAATGATGCGATAAGAAGGTTGTTGTGGTAGCACCCCGCTTCATCTGATCTGAGGTAGGCTTTATTCACTAGCGGAAAACTGGATTTTATGGTTGAAAGAAGATTTTCGACAACAGAAGCTACAGCAAACCAATCTTGAGTGCACGGATCGAATAAATGGACATATGTAGTCACAGTAACTGTGTCTGTTGACGAGCCTTTGGAAATGACGCTACTAACATGCCAACTAAGCCCACGCTTACCATACCAATCAGACTGTTTTTCTCGAAATCTTGTCTGCTCGAATTTCATAGCCCAATCAGCAACAATAAGAACACTGGCCTCATCAAGGTCATCCAAAACTTTCTGCTTTGCTCTATCCTGATTAATCGAGCGGAGAATGTGAGATTTCCACTTCTGAATGTGGTTGTAGGCTTCCTCAAAGTCGTGAGTGAGCTCTTCTTTCACATCTTTTGTGCACGAAAAATGCTTCGTTTCTCAGAGCTTTGCACGAATTTCCTCGACAGTAGATTTTAAATTCTCGCAATTTTCACATTCCATTGTGTGTTGGTGAGAACATTTTACCTGGAACTCCTTGTCTTAAGGATCACTTAATGCGAACGCTCTGCAATGATCTGCACACAGACTCTCACTCTCCTGACAGTGTACTTTGTAGTCTGTTTTGAGATATTCTTTTGCCTTTTGCAATTTCTTAATTACTGACTGCGACCATTTCATATCCACACCGAAATGCACTAATCGTTCGCAGATCTCTTCCATTGTCATGAATGCTATCGATCCATCTGCTGCAGTATTGTCTAAACCCTGGAGGGATTTGCGCTGTGATGCTTCTCGTATTTCCAGAATCCGAAATAAAGTTGCTCTACTCAGTGGCTCGAATTCTTCTTCTTTACAAACTTCTAAATACTGTGCAACCATTGTGGATCTTGTTACCGTGCGAACAACATTGGGCATTTCGATCGTCTCTCCATTCTCAAGTTTCAGGTTTCTTGTACCAAAAGCAACGTCTTGATGAAAATATGGACGATTTGCGAAGTCGATGAAGTGATCTACTTTAACCATGTTGAGCTTCACGCGATGATGTTTCGTTTTCTTTACCTCATGACCAGGTCCAAAATTTCTAGCATGAGCACGTGCCCTATCGATTTGCCATACACTAAGCTTGCCATATGGTTCGTGCAGTTTTTGTAATGCCTTTTTAGAAAGTTCATATACATATATGCTCAATATTTGTATCTTCAGGCTTCTAGATGGTGCTTGCGCGAATGCAGTAACTAAAGGTATAAGGTGTTCACCAGAATTTACACGTGTCAAGGAGTCAAACAGCTTCTCTCCATCGTTAGGTGCGATAATACTGCAGATTATTTTACAGGCACCAGTTGCCCTGTCTATGCACTCGTTCTTTTCCACGGAAGAGGCAGATTCCAGGTCGTTTAGCTGATAGGAGAGTTCAGGTGGCTTGTCCATTCCAGCAAGTTTGGACAAATTTTCCACTGCCTCATTAAACTTAGTAACAACTGAAGCGTCTGGGACTTCGTCATCTTCCATGTCACTGTCGCTAAAATGCGTACTAGCACATCCAGGTGTCCACAGGGCACAGGGGAACTTGTTCAGACGGACTGCTAAGAAGACTCATGCCTTGCATCTGATCTGCCAAAGAGTCAGCTGCTTTCCTATATATATATATATATATATATATATATATATATATATATATATATATATATATATATATATATATATATATATATATATATATATATATACTACCCCACTGCCCTTTCGTACGACATATCTAGAATATTCTACACCAGCTGCTCGTTCATTTTTATCTCTTTCTGTAGTCACCCAGACGCTTTCTTTTTCCATTCTCTCTTTGTGTATCTGCCGACATTGTCTGCATATTGCTATAAGTAAATTATATTTTACCAATTGTCCTATATTATTATACCCGAAAACTACGGAAATTGAGTATTTATTGTGTTATTCATCCTCCTCCCGTACCCATAAAAGAACGTCCTGAATGAAGGCGCAGGACGATCAAAAACTAGACGGAAATCAATTTAATTTACAGAGTTTTGCAAATATTACGGTATATAAGATTACCATTACTCTATTTCCAAGAGTATAAAAACAATCTTAGTTTAAAAACTAATAGTATATTATTATCGCTAAACTTACCCTAGTTATCTCCAGTCCCCCCCTCCCGCGTCATTAAAGTACTAATTACAACAATTGAAGAAGTAAAAGTAGCATAATACTTACGGGATCCTACTTGAATTAATTTCCCATAAAGAGTAAATACTGCTTTTGACAATGACACATTGAAAACATCTCTCCCTGTACACTTTCGAGCAGGACCCGAATGGAGGGGATACTGGCACGGTCTTAGCGGTCTCCAAAATCATCCCAAATTATGACGGTGGGACGGACAAATAGACATCATCTTAAACTGGTCTTCGGTACGATTAATCTTTCCCGCACGAATAGCAATTAACTTGCTCTCTCTCAAGTTCGATTTAGAAAGATGACAGTTTGATAGTTGACCACTCATATCTTCCTTACAATCAAATAAGCAACTAATCTCCCGCAATCCACGACTTGCACCACAAGAAATTCCACCAACGCCAACAAATGAACATCTTTTCTCCATAATCAAAACTAGACTAGTAAGCTTCTATATCTATAAACGGTACTTCTTTGCGTTAATTTTCTGTCAAACAAAACAGATGTGGAAATTACAAAGGACCACTGTCATTGATATTATTTATGAAGTAAGTTTAAAAAATACTCCAATAATTATTTTTAACAATGGCGCTTTGAAGAACAAAAACAACTTGTATACATTGCGTCTGCTATTATTTTCTGCTATTATTTTCGTGTTTTTTATTATTATTTTATAAATTAGAGAAACTTAAAAGTTGGCTACAAACGTAATCCCCTTGGCATACAGACTACAGTAACACAATTTACTAACCTCGGAATTTTTTCGACAACTCTCGAACGTTTGATTAAATATTAAATTTGCGAGATTAAATTGTTTGTTGAAGAGCACGCGAAAAATAACTATCCAGGTAGCAAATTAACTATAAAATTTAGTATTGTCGCTTTCGTAATATAGCGTGTATTCTATTTATGGCACATTTAGTATATCGTTGCTTTCGTACTATAAAGCGTGTATTCTATTTATGGCACACTCATCAGTACATATTAAACAACGATAATATATTGTACATTATGTTGGCGTGCAAATATTTAGTAATTTTAATCAAGTTTACTAGTAAAACGATCAATTGTAAAGGCTTTCCAAAAGCTTAAAAAATTACAAGGCGGTGTTTGTATTCAAATAAAAGAACTTATAACACTATTTTATATTTATAATCGCTGATATAAAAGCTCCGCGAGTAACGTTGAATGTGTTTCCGGTTATCACAAAGGTAAACAAATAGAGCTATTTATAGCCATAATTTATGAATTTTGCACTCCTTCATATTCCTTTTGCCGACAAGTTTTGTTGTGGATAACTTAACTTTAAGTATTCTACTTTAACCCTAAAAGTGTTTTAGACACCAAGTAGGTTGCACTTTTGAGAATTTTTAGTTTGAATTTTGTACCTAATCATTAGCTGTTAGGCGAACGAAAATACCGACTTTCTTGCATGGAGACTAATAGGCTTAAAATAAGATGTACATTCAAATTCTTTCCACATTCTGAAAGAAGAAGAATATGTCTCAATACGCTGAAAAAAGGTTTTAATTTGACGCAAAACTTCCCGAGTTATGATGCACAATTTAACACATATTTGACAGCCATTTTCGATGTGAAATTTCAGTGTCGCTGACGTTCAGACAAAAATTCGTCATAACTCAAGAAAAAAGAAAAATTTTAAAATTCTAATACTATTTTAATTCCTTTTAGGACAAAGGTAGTTCATGGTAAAAATATAAAGTAAATCTAATTTTCAACCAGAAACGCTCTGCATGGTTCTTAGTGAGACAGCCAATTAATCTCTTTAAATCCAAACTAAAACAATTTATCTAATTAAGTTGAGTTTTTTCTAACTATGAAGTATAATTATATATAATCCACTTGTAAATATTTTATAGTTTTTAAATAAGCATAGACGTATAGTTTACAAATACCATGTATAATATAGATATATATTACAGGACCTCCCTAAAAAACTATTCGGTGAGTGGAGCTTCCTGAATAAATATTATTATTATTATTATTTTATACCAATAACAGACATTTTTCTGATGGCAAATACTAAGCTATGGTCACTTATACCTGTATGAATAACACCAGAATCAGAAACTTTCTTGTCTTTAGTCTGTATTCAACATGATCAATTAGGCTGGTGGTTTTCATAGTTACTCGAGTAGCAAGTAGCATCATCTATCAGTTGCGATAACCAATATAATTCGTCGTTATAATTTGTAGGAATGTTAGATTCATTATCTGGTTTTAGCGAATCACAGTTTAGATCACCCAGAATATACACAGACATTCCAACTACTGGAGGTAAAACCACTCGCATTTCTCTACAACCATTTCCAAACTGTGAGTTGTTAACTGTGGAGGTAACCCTGCCCAAAGTAAATCCCCAATGGATACTGATTTTGGATAAACTGTTCTGGCCAATTTGGGGCTTGGCATTTCAGGATGATGGCCGTCCATTTATACAATCTTTGATGGTGAAATTAGCGTGGAATTTGTTGACCCCTTACCCCTAGGCTGTTGTGACGCATCATGCTCGGCAGGTGGTAAAAACGGATAAAGTACACCTTTTTCTCTTTGATTTGTTCCATTTTTGTACACACAGGTCCTCTGTCCGAGGCAAGAATATCACACAATCCTGCCGGTGTGTTATAGAATTGTTCACAAGCATCTTTAATATCCTCTATTAACAGCTCTTCATATCTGAAAATGGAACAAAATCTCTACTATCCAATGGCTCATATTTTTTCAATCATCCTCTTTACCAATGTATCGTTTGGGATTTTGCCAAGCGCTCTTTTTTCTGGCGCACACTTTCGATCTTCTTTGCCACTTCGCTTTAATCCAACTCTTCTTCTCAACTTTCTTTACCTTTTCTTCGTTTCATTACAAAAGTGTGTGTGATATATACCTTTGTCCTGTTTGCTAGTGTGATACTTTAAAATCAATCTTTCAATTAGACAATAATCATAATGGTGTAACTGTGGAATGGCGGGAAATTAAATTAGAACCCAGTCTTTACGAATAATACTGGGCCGTTCGAAGAAAAAAAAATCAAACAGGCTTACGGCTCTGTGGCCCAGCATTATCAATCAATTTTTTATTTATTTCTTTATTGAACTGTTGCATTTTTAATATTTTTTTAAAATTTAAAACAAGAAATCATGTGAATTACAACTTATAATTGATATTATTATACATTTGTAAATAATTTTTTTCTCAAATCAAAATAATAATCAACTCCAATTTGTCATACATATTCAAGTTATTTTCAATTTTATAAAGAAAACAATAATAAATCACTTAAAATAACATAAAATGTGCAAAATATTCCTGAAAATAGCGGTGATAATGATGGGCCCATGTGTACCGGGCGGGGGGCAGGGGGGGGGTGGCAGCTCCTCCAGTTTGTTGGGCAGTCGGGCAATATTCGCTCAACAGTTGGGCAATTTTGCTTTATTTATAAAAATAAATGGGGCAAATTCTGTCAAATTTGAGGTCAATATTGTGATTTTTTGAAAATTTGTGCGATGTTCGGAAACATTTTGGCATGTCTGAAAATTTTTTTGACCCCTAAAATGGTACACCACCCCCCTAATTTTTTCCTTCCGGTACGCCCATGGATGGGCCACCATGTATATGA